AGTCTAAACATTTATGGTTTCATGTTATAATTTGTGTTCATTCTAGAATGAAAGAGGCATAATTTATATTTATTATTAGAACAGTACATGTTTTATGCCTAAGTCTCTTAAAGTGCTATGTTAAATATTTTCATTATAATACTTTTCATTGAATCACCATAAATTGCTATTTAATTTTAACCCTCAAAATTAGATTGTTAACGACAGACATTTTACACTTGCATGTAATCTTCTATAAACTATTCACTGATTAAACACTGTCAAGGTAAAACATTGGATTATGTCATGCAGTATTTTACAGGAAGGATAAAATGAAGAAGAAAAAAATCATATCACAGTACTAATTTTAAATCATTAAGCTATGTGAATGCAAATCTTAAAACCAGTTTTAAATGATGAAATTGCCAGAGCCTAGGTAATGTACAACAGAATTTTCTTATGACAAGTCATAATAACAAATATTAATTCACACTGGCTACGCTGAATCATATTCCAATTAAGTACAATATAAACCTATTCTTCTTGTCAAATGGAAACCAAATGAAACTCATACTAAAATAACTATTAACATCTTACAAGGAGTTAAAAAATGAATAATATTTCCATTATCAACATTTATATGTGGCTCCTTGTTTTTTTTATCCTTCCCACCTGCCCTAGCTACAGGGGGAACTCACCAGGACTTACTGCCCAAGGACAGACTTTTCTCAGAGTGGACACACCTAATAATGCCAGCACCACAGGAAGTATGTTGAATTTTTAGTATAAAAGAAGTTGTCAGTGTGACAAAATAAGAGCATAAATTTTGTGCCTCAATGTTATATGTTTTAATCAATAATTTTTCTGTTAAAACCTTTTTAGAATTCATAAAGATTATAAGTTATGCCCTGAAAATGGAAATCTTTTAACATAATGCTATATGTCCAAATTTTGTTTTGGCCAGGTATGGCCTAGTGGCTGTGGCACTCCACTAAAAATCTGTAGGTTGCAGGTTTGAATTTCATCATGAAAAATGTTCACTCTTTTTCAGCAGTGAGAGCATCATATTGTAATGGTCAGTTCCACCATTTGTTGATATAAAGAGCTATCCAAGTGTTGGTGGTGGGTGGTGTTGACTAGCTGCCTTCCCCTTTTGTCTATCACTATGAAATAAGATAGCTGATGTAAATAGTCCTTGTAGTTTTGCACAAAATTCAAAAAACAAACAAACTTTTATTTAATAGTTCAGTTTGCTTCTTCTTTATTATTTCAGTAGTTAATACAAAGTTGAATGTTAATTGGCCTGTTTTCATGTCCAAAATGGACCCCTAACAGGTTAATTGCTCCCAATAAAGCATTACTATAGCAATAATAATAACTGGTGCAGTTGTGGAGGCCAACCATTGGAGCTCAACTTTACCACCAGTCACAATAGATTTATATTATATCCAGAATTACAGTCATGAGTGGAGTGCACAAGTCACTAAATTGAGGAAGTTTATGGTTAGAATAAAGAATGAGACTTAGATTCTATAAAACCACATCAAATTTTGTTAGTTCTTCACTTATAAAATACAATATACAACTTCTTGCATCAACTGCTTGGCTATTTTGTTTAGTAATTCCTCTACCAGATTCATTAAATTACCCATTATCCTTAGATTATTCTTGATCAACATACTATGGGAATGATATTCAGACATACTTAGAGCTACTAAGTTTCATTTATACATTTTGTTTTAGCTCCTTAACTACATTAATCGATCAAGAGAAATAGCAATTTAACTTTCATCAAAGTTGAGGTGGTGTTCTGGCCTCTTTGTAGGTTAGATAGCTTCAACACGAGTTTTTATTGTGTCCTTACGAGTTCCCAAATAGTGTGCACATCTACCTGCAAGTAGGTGTGACACTTCATTGTTTAACTTTTGCAACTCATCGGACTTTCCAAAAACAACAACAGAAATTCTCTGGTGATTGATTGCTGCTAGAATTGGAAAATTGGCTGCGTGCTCACTTGTACTGCAACACACTTCTCTAGTTATCAATCCCACATCAAAGTCCCAATTCTTACCTCTAACATAAACTTTTTAGCAGCATTTTCTCTACTACTAGAGTGGTGTCATCAGTTTGTCACTGTCAAACTCGGGACTATCTTTTTGTTTTTTAAGCTACCTCGTGGATGTGCTAGGTGTCTGTTTTTTATCACTCTTCATTCTCAATGCTAGTTCTTGACCCCATTTCATAATGTAGGTGATATTTCATGCTATTTCTCCTTACATGGGTGCCACACCCAGACATTTCTATTTTATAGATGCTCATTATTCCCATTGCTTCACAGCATTAAATTTATCTTGGCATGAAAGTGGAAAATCAAGAGGATCATACAACAATGGGAATTTGTTTCAAGGGTATTTTAGGCAGTGTAAACATAGTAAGTGTTTTTGATTGAAGAAGATGTCAGCATAGAAGTCAAAATGTCATCCTACTCTAGAAATAGGCAGGAGTTTTCAACTAAAGCGAAAACTATCAGTAATGTGACTTTTTTTGGAAATTAATAAGAAATATTTAAACAAACAGGATCAGTTGTTGTTGTTGCAACTTGCAGTGGTTACCTCATAACAATCATCGAAGTTGTGATAGAATTCAAACTGTGGTTGCTAATGGAGAGGGAAATCACAAGGAATACAAAATCAGTTAAATTCTCAAGCTCATAGGACTTAAACAGTCAACAGTCTGGAAGGTCATGTGTGCAACATTGAAGTTATACCCTTACAGGCTATAAATCGCCACTATAATCCATGTTGTAAATTGTAATTCATATTTCAGGAATGAGTAGTTTTGAATAAAATAGGTTTAAACAATTAAGGGCTACACCTTGGCATTACTTAGACTGTCAAGGCAATTAATGGAGCATACTTTCAAGAATCAAAGTAATCGGCAGTTATTTTTTCATACACATAGCCAACATAGACTTTTCATTCCTATCTTTGGCTATGGGTCTACATCAAATATTTGACAAACTGTATAATGCTGTATAGCATGTTGTTTATCATCCTGATTTTATTTATTTATCAAGAGAAATACATAGGGATATCCACAGCATGTTTCTTAGCAGTTAAATGTTAAATATTACTTTCATAGATATAACTGCAAGTTTATGGCACATGCTTAACCTGTTTATTTAGTATTAGGAATATTGCTTTAAAATATTTTAATGTTCTAATTTCATTTTTTGACAATTTATTTTTTTAATTAAAATCTTTGAATTTTGTATTTATAGGTTACTCTAGCTTTCGCCGTTTAACTCCTGTTAATGTTCCAGTTCAGGTCAATGACCTACGTGCTTCTGAACTTACAGAACAGATAAGTGAAATTGCTGTTGAAAGGAGAAAGATCTTTTTACATGAAAAATTACAGGAAGGTATTTGTTATAGGAACTTCTGGATTTACAAACTTTTTTTATGCTGAGCCAAAAGAAAATGCTAAAAATGTTTTTTGTTAAGCATAATAAGTTTTTAGAATTTTTAGCTATATGTGAGAAGCTCTGTGATTTCCCATCCAAATTA